GAAGGTCAAAATAAAATTCTCTCTCCATAAATGAAGAAAAGACCACCTAATGTGTAGCTACATCTATCTTTTAAAAGATTATACTGATTTTTGTGTTATATATCTGAAAGCTTTCAGAAAAATGTTTTGTGAAATACTTCTGTATTGAATGAGCATCTCCAAGTTTTCAAATCAGTTTAATTAAAACTTCTATCTGTTTGTTAAACTCCTATTTGGTGTCTTTTATTATGCTGATGGAGTCCAAGAGATGAAAGTGTACAGCTCATTATCTTGTTAAGAAAAATGACAGTGTACATCGACATGTTTCTGTTTGGCAGGATGACTAGTAAAATGTAGTTCAATGTTTTCCCAATAAATTAGTATTAATTAAGCATTTGCTAAGTACAGGGTATTAGAAGGTACATAGAAAAGAACATGGATGTTGTCACGTTCTATCTGGGATTTCTTAAGACTCTTTGAGCCTATGTAAAATGATCACAGTAAGCATTTTATCACATTCTAATGTGAAGAAAGCATAGCAACTGATTCAACATATGGCAAAGCTCATAGTTCATAAACACTTGCTAACCTTGCCCTGAAAGTCAGTTCCTAGATGGAAGCCTAGAATTTCAAGGATTGAATTCCTTCATCTGAAATCCAGACTTCTAGAAAAGATGATTCCACCATTCTGAGTCTCTGATTGGTGGCACCCTTGACTATTCATCTGCTTCAGCTTTATTCAGCAGAGTTAAGCTGAACTTGTGCCAATTAAGTCTCTGCTTAGTGTACAGGAGCTGGCAATTTCATTATGTTTATAATTGTCTCTTTATTGATCTCCTACTCTGAGATAAATACACTCAGAATCCTTTCTTACCCCTCATTTATTTCTACTTCCACCCCGGTTCAAGACGGTAGGTCTCACTGGGTGGTGCCTGACGCTCTTATTCCAAGCATTTTTGCATCTTCCTACAAAATACAGATGTAAGAAAAGCACTAAAGTACTCATCCTGTGAGCTCATAATCCCAGGATTATGGAAGGGATTCTAAGAGGGAAGGCATACAACCTCCCACTGTTAGTGTTTGCCTCCAATACTTGATATGTACTTCTGGAAAGTTCTGTTCCATGGTCTGTAATTCCCTATTTTTCCTTTCGTATGTAGAAGATACTCCTACACAATGCTGTTTCATGGTGCTCATTCCCTCAACCCTAATACTGGCCTTTCAGTGACTGACTTTTTTGTTTTTATTTATATTTAAAGATGAGCTTGTTACTAAAGCAATCTTTTATCTCATGTATATGTGGATGAACCTTGTTGAATAACCATACTGGTAATGCTGTCATTTGTTTATGATGTACTTTGAAATTTTACGTCTCCACTATTGTTTTGATACTTATAATGCATTTATCAATTGGAGAATCAGTTGGGGCTGCATTTGACTACAGATAAGGATATAGCAACTCAGACAGATTATTTGGCTAAAGTCACCCAACCAGTAACACTTAGGTTATAAATTGCAAATCTGGTAATTCCAATTCTAGTGCAATTTCCCCCCACAATTCCTTTATTTGTACAAATAGTTATTGATAAGTTTTAGTAACTAGAAAAATGGCAACATTTTGGGCATGCTCACATTTTAGCAAAGACTTTGAATTCTTTAATTCAGAGAATTTATTTTACAAGCAAAACATTCCAGGTGTGTCTAAGTCTGTTTTGTGCTGCTATAACAGAATACCTGACATGGAGTAATTTATAAAGAACTGATATTTATTTTTATAATTTTTAAGACCCTGAACTCAAAGATTACCATGCCAGCATTTGTTGAGCACCTTCTGGTTGTGTCATCTGATGGTCAAAGGCAGAAGGGTAAGAGATAACCAGAAAACACGAAATTGAAATTGCAACCTCATTTACTTCTATGATTAGTACCAATCTGTTCCTGAGAGTAAAAGACTCGCAATTTAAAGGGCTCACATTAATGCCTTACCACCCAACACTGTTGTATTTGGGATTAAATTCCTAAAACATGCCTTTTGGATGACACATTCCCACCATGGCTAGGTGCTACAGCACCCTTTAGATTGTATGCTAGTGGCTGAAAGTCCTGTTTTCACTCGCTTGGGCTGTTGCTTGTACCACTTGCAGACCTGCTTATAATTCCAATCAGTTCTAACGACATATCCACAAATGGTCCCAAAAATGTGTATAGTACATGCTAGAAGTAGTTTTGTTTTGAAAAAGGGACTCATTATGTATTCCAGGAAAGGCTTAAATGTGCATAGACCTTCCTATCTCAGCCTCCTGAATGCTGGGATTATATGTGCAAACCAAGACTGGCTCCTATGTCTTGATTCCTACACATGATTCAAGGTAATTTTCATAAATAATTTATTGGTATGATTTTAGTTAAAAATGCTCTGAGGTCTATTCGTATCTTCATTTTTAAATTAATACAACAAACTGAGATGAGAATTAATCAAACATCAAGCACCTGGTAGAGTGGGCTTCACCTCCAAGTCTGACTTGATCAGTGCTGGGAAATGTCTGTTATGCTTTTGACTGGTCCTGACTTGGCCATCTCCAATAAGCCCAGAGTTGGGCTACACTGCCTGAGGCCATTTCAAAATCTTTCTCTCATTATCTCACTATCTCACTATCTCTGCCTGCAGATGACAATTTCTTACATCCTCCTGGTGTCTTCCTCTGTTTTCAGCTGACGTAACTGTATCGGGGAGATAGTCCCTCTCTGTGCTGGGACCCCTTGGATATATTAGAAATGTTGCAGGAAGACCCTGTTTCATGGGATTGGTTTAGTCTTCTCTCTGATAGTGGCCTCACAAACTCCAGCCCTGCTTCCTCAGCACCCAAGCAGAGCATTAGCACCTGGCACCCTTTCACACGGTGCGCCTTACATCAAAATCATACTGTTAGCAGCAGCTTGGTGGTTCTCTTTTGACAGCAGTTATTGTAGCTATCAACCTATCTCCCCAATACTTCCAGCTTTTGTAGTGTTTCAAGTCATATTTTTTCTATATAGAAGAGTGACACTCATAGTAGAGTCTGTCTGTGGCTCCGCTGAAGCATAACAACCTTTAGCTAGAGGACAAGACTTCCATGAATTGCTCAGCTGCTGTGCTCAATTAGTCTTCCAATATATTTCCCCCCTATTTCCTCCTCACTTGCTGTCAAACATGTCAAAAAACAGAGCAGCTTTTCTGATGTGGACACTGGCTCATTAGGCCCCAGCTGAGATCATTAAATTCTGTTTCTTTAAGAAAGAACAAAAAGGGCAGATTTATACTTCCTTTGATAGGACTGGTCTTAAATTTCCTCCCTATTGTGAGATGGATAGTTGGTGATGAATCAGTGATATTTCAGACTCCACTGGGAGCAGACCAGCTGCTTGCAGAATGGAGATTTGTGGGATAGAAGGGCACCCAAAGAGCCACTGAATGAACACACACACACACACATACACACACACACACACACACACACACACACACACACACACACGCTTCTTGTGTTACCTTCTGTTGTGGACTAATTTAAATAGTACTACTTTGTTTACTCAAGACGAGGTTTCTCAGTCTGAGTGCTATTTATATTTTGGACCACAGAATCTTTGTTGTGAGAACTGTTAAGAGCATGACAAGATGTAACTAGCATGCCCAGCTTTACCCATTAGACTCCAGCAGTACACCTTGTAATGAGCAAAAATGTGCCCAGATTTTGTCAATTGTTTCTTTGGAGCAAAATCACTCCCAATTAGGAAACAATACTTTAAGAAAAAATTTCACATGTTAGGGTCTCTCAAGCCAATTTTCTAGAGTGAAGAAATCAAAAGTCTGAGTTTTAGAATGGTGAGCCAGAAGATGTGAGATAATTATTATTAATATGGCCAGTGAGACAAACTTGTGAATGGGGGGGGTGCATTTGTAATGGCTTTCAAATGCTGTTCGCCTTCCATCTTTATTTCTCCTCTGCTTGCTGATACTTAGAACTCATCTGCTATCTTGTAATGTATAGAAACTCCTACTATAGATTGGGCCAAAGCTGGATTTCCTGGTTATCACATTTTCTTGGCTTTACTTTTACTAACATTGTATCTGTGAAACATTATTTTTATGTGTTGTGTTTTCTAAGATTTTTCTGGGTAGAGAAGCAATTTGTATATTGATAATCTGTGTTGATATTTGTTTAAGGTTAAATGGCTTAACTCTCCCATGTTTAGGTTATAATGTAGATTTAAAAATATCCCCAAACGGTCCCTGACAGAGGCAGGGCTTTTGGTGGGTGATTGTATCACATGGATGTGGTATTCATTGATGTGCTCAGTCACTAGTGAATGCTGCAGCTGAGTGTGCTCTTGGGGAGAGGTGAGAGCTGGGGGTGAGCTCTGGAAGGGGGTATCTCCCTCCCCTTGCTCTCTGCTTCCTGGTCAGCCTGCCAGAGCAGCCTTTTCTGTGCCAGGCCTCTCCACTATGCTGTTTCTGCATTTGAGCCAGCTGAGTAGAGACTGAAAGCTCTAAAACAGTGAGCTAAAATAAGCCTATCCTCAAGTTGTGGGTTTAGGAAATTTTGTCCCAGCAATGAAGAAAGTGATAAGAGAATTGAGTCTGTCTCTCTGTCTCTGTCTGTCTCTGTCTCTCTCTTTTCCTTTTCTGTTTTGCTCTCCTCTGTCGCTCTCTTCTCCCTCTCTCTCTCCCTCTCTCCAGATACATTTTATATTTACATATTAAAAGCTCTAGTCTCTGTGCTAGATTCAGCAGCACATGTACTAAGTACGTTGTGTTGCTGAAAAGATTCTTATTTCATTCAGTCTTCGATGACAGTCTTTTAGGCATTGCATTGCATGAATAGAAACACATATGCACTTATACATCAGAATTGTTTTCTTAATTAAATGAAATGGAAAGTAACAGAAATGAAAAGTAAAATAAATATTAATGTCTTTTTCAAGACTCTGTCGTGGAAAATCACATAACCTGAAGCACAGACTATTTCTACTTCTCCCCTCAGGACAATGGATGACATCATGAGACACCATGCCATCATTGCTGTGTTATATTTTGCTCTGCTCAGGAGGCAACTGCTCCACATCAGGACTGCTTCCTGTGAGCCACTGCTATCTTTTCAAACACTTCTGATTCGGGGAAATTCCCAAGGTAGGAAGCCAGTAAAGATTTTCTCATTTAAAATATTCTAGAAGTGGTCCTCCCTCCTCCTCATGACAGCGGGAGTAGGAAAGATAAGCAGAATAACTTCCATCTAAGGGAAAAATGCTCCCAAGTTGTCTGCCCCACTTACCGCACCCTGGGTGCACCACTGTTAATGTTTCAGTACTAAAGAGAGAAAAGCCTTTGCCTTATGGAAGTGACTCAAGTTAATAAGGCATTAACATACAGATGCAGACTTTTGTTCCTAGGATACTGGTAAGTGTGTATAATTGTATATCCCCGAGAAAATTTTCCTCTACCTATCAAGCAGTTTTCACACTACCTGTCTTTATCTCCATGGCTTCAGAATTATCGTGTGTCACTCATGGCAGCATAATCATACGTGCTCATCCAGAAAATACTGGTGGATGACTTACAGTAATGATGTAAAAGCTTTTCTCTATTTAGAAAAATGTCTTCCTCCTCAATTTCAGTACATTTGATACACAAAAATATATTTTTACAGAATCCATTATGATTTTTACTCATTTTTACACATATTGGTTCATTTCATCTTTACAGCAGCCTTACTATACAGGTGGAATGGAGCTGATTTTGCACTTCGTAAGACTACAATTTCTATGCACTGGCCAAAGGCGATATTACTACAAAACACGTTTGCAATAGAAATCTGTTTTCTGATATCTTTACCTGCTACTCTCACCATTTAAAAATGCTTAATCGTGACCTCTTGGGCTATTTTATGAATATATAAAGAAGACTTGCATATTTTACAAGGCCAGAATTTCCTGAAAATAATGAGTTACCACTGTGTAGTTAAAGGCACCTCTGGAAGCTTCCTCCATAAAGAAAAGAGAGAATCACTTTATTTAGGGTTAAAACAAAAGAACCAACTAGAACCTCAGTCTGGTGAATGGAAGCCCAGTCTTGTTTTTGTTGTTGTTGTTTTTTTAATGACTTTGCATTTTCCAGGCAGGTGTTTGTGGCTCTGAGCTAAATCCCTGGCTTTTCTTACATTTTTATACTGGACTCTTAATGTAAAAGCTGATGCAGAGCAGATACACATGGTTTCATTTTATTGAGTGAGTAAATGAGTAAATTTCTAATGTGATTATCTAACCTAACAAATACCCCCATCTAATTATTCTTTGATTATCATTACCATACCCAAATTCACTCCAATTCTTACAAAATGTAAAATAACAAGGTACTATTAGGGTGAACACCCTTTTATAGAAAAATTAACATCTTAGAAGAGTAATCTCAATCACTCCCTCTAAATCCTCATCATTTTTCCCATCCCTGGGAAAACTAATTTTCCTATTGCTGAGATGGTGCTTTTGTGGTTAGCTCTGATGTTTTTCCTCCAGACGCTCACTTCCTTTTCTCTCTTAATCTCCAGCCCACTTGCTACCTGAGTCTCTCTCTTCCTTAGGACACATTTAACTGCTGCTGTGGCATGACTCACCTGGGAAGCCCTCACAGCTTGGGAGCTGTTCTTGCCGAGTGATGGTGATTGTGTTTTAGTAACTGTTGTCTGCCATTGTGGAAATATAGCAATTGCTTGCTTTGAACACATTTGCACATCCCTCAGATAAGGCTCTTCTGCATTTGCTGAACTCTGAGGGGATTCTGAGTCCCCGGCACAAATGAAAAAGAGAGAAAGAAGTCAGAGTGGTCAGACAGCTACAGTCCTTACTTTGCACCATTCACTAGACCTGGATCTCTGTTGCAGCCTGTGACTGGCTCAAGCTTGGCTTCTTGAGATTCTTGAGGATCACGCATGAGGTACAGGGGAGGGTAGGGGAACCCTTTGTAAAATTCAAACTCCATTTAAATGTAAAACAAAAGTTACTGTGTTGAATATATTTATGAAGCCAATGTATTTTTTTTTTAAATCTGTAATTCTAATACTCTAAGATGAAGCTGGTTTTACCTACAAGAAAAAAAGATCTCCCCTCTAGAAGGTTTACTTAGCTCTGGAATACATAACTCCAGTTGTGTGAAAGATGAACCAACCTAGGAACATTAATATCTTTACACTGAACAACTTTTTTTTTTTTTTTTTTTTTTTTTGGTCTTTTTCTTTCTATCGGTACCAGGGATCAAACTCATGATCACACACTTGCAAGGCAGGCGCATATGCCACTGAGCTAAATCCTCAGCCAACTTATCTAAGGGTCTGGTTAGAGAAGCCAGACCCTTCTATCACCTGGCTGAAAACTTCCATAGATGACTCTTGAAATTTTGTGATTTTTTCCCCTGTATCTCTAAATATACCTTTAGCTCTATTTTTCCTCCCCCATCCCAGTTAAGTCCAAACATATTGTAATCCCCTGTTTAACATCTATTGTTAAACTCACACAATCACACCTCTTCTGACTGTAGCTCATAAGGAAGGAACAGGAGAATTCAGCTAATTCACAGGAGCATGCTGTTGTGTAAGTAATGTTTTTGGACTTATCCTCCATTTGTTTTATGCATTTATTTGCATATTGTGAACTAAACCATAAACTCTGAAGGTCACAGGGAAAAGTTTCTTTTTTAAAAAGCTTTCTCAACACTTCTAAGAGAACTCTCAGTTTTTGCCAGATTTGCTCAATAAATTACTTGTGTAGGCATACATCGGAAGGTGAATTTTCCTAGAAAGGCAAAAGGAAGCTACCATTTAACTCTTTTACTATGACACCTACTTACTCCCTAAAACTTTTTTTAAAAAAGTAATATCAGTTAACATATTTTGAGCACCTTCATGTATATGGCATTACTTAAGCACTTAAAAGTTATGATCCTTTTTAATATGTATCTCATTATACTAAATGAAATAAATCAGCCATAGGGAAAAAAACTAATTGCATGATTTCATTTATATGAGAAATATGTAGTGAATATATATATCTAGTGAATATATGTGTACATCATATAGTGTGTGGATCGAAATGTACCATGAATATTTAAATTTAAAAATATTTACTACAATAAAAGATGTCATTAATCCCCTCAAAACATCTTCCTTCACTTTAAACCCACTTACCTCCTCATTCTTGCTACTTTCTGTAGCAGATCTGGAAGTCCTTTTTGGTAAATGTCTTTAGTTGTGTAGTCATAGCTATTTAGATGCAGTGCATCAGTTGAAAAAATTTACCTTTCATGCTTATTTTGTCTTTGGTTAAGACCCAGAAGTCCCAGGGTGCAGATCCCATGAATAAGGCAAGTGAAGACTCATCATAATATACTTTGAGCCTGCCTTTCAGTTTCAGCAGCATTATTCATCATATTCTTTTTGAATCACAACTTCTACTGACACTCAAGGAAAATGGCCTTCATTGGGTTGTGTGCATTAGAAGTGAGGGACAATATTTTGAGGGAGATGAATGGCAAGGTGTCTTTTAATGTAATAAGTGTTTTTAAATTTAAATATTCACCATATATTTTAATCACTCCTTGCATATGAAATCTTAAATAAACAGATAGATAATGAAGCCATGGTTGGTTATGGATATAGGTGTTGACAGAGGAAATGGAGAGCTATAGATCGAAGAGTAAAAAATAGTAGATGTGTAGAATGAACACATTTAGGGATGTAACATGCAGCATGAGGAATAAAGTTAGTGAAATTGTATTGTGGACTTTTGTTAGGTGTTATAGCTTATGTCTAGATGTACCCCCAAAACCTCATTTTGTCATAGGATGCTTTCAGAGGTGGCTGAATCTAGGGCACGTGATGCTGGGATTAAGGGTGTGTGACTAGTGAATCAGTCTACCAATTGGTCTAGTGTAGTTCTGGCTAAGATTGTTATGGCAGAGAGAGAAACACAAGATATCACTCAAGGGGGCAAAAAGCAGGTATAAGCAAATTTTACAGCGGTGGATGACATCCAGCAAACTTCTGGATGGTTGACCCCAAGGGGCAAGTGAGTTAGGTTTCACAGTTTTTAGTTCTGGGCAAAACCGGGCAAGGATATATTGCCTCACTTGTCTTGGAATCTTATCGGGAGTGGAAGACAGGATATAACCAATCATCTTACAACAGCTCAGGGTGAAGCAAAAGTAAGAGTTCATGGTTTGGTCCATGAGGGTATTTTTGCAGGAAACAATTGTGAGCACAGGATTTTACATCTATTTTATAGCTAAGATGGTGGCTGAGACCTAAGATAGCATGAGTCTGGCTCATTCTCGTATCAAGGTTACAGGTATGGGCACGACAACTTTCCTAAGAGGAGGTATCCTGGCTACAATATAAGGGACAGAAAGGATCTTGTTTCCACCCCTTGATTCTTTTACTACCTTTTGGGCACTATGAACTGTTCTCTATGATGCCTCTCTGCCATATGCCACCTTGCCTTAGAGCCAGCCACCTATGGAGTGAAACCTCTACAAACTGTGAGCTAAATAAACCTTTCCCCTTTTATCTTTGGCTGTTTTGTCTCAGCAATGAGTAAAGTAACTAAGACATTAGATTTTAGCGGTTTTGTTCCAGAAAAAGTAATTATGGGAGATGATAAGTACATTAATCTACTTCATAATAGTATAAATTTTACTATCTATATATATCTTGTAACATTATGTTACAAACCTAAAATTGCACACAATACAATTTATTAGGAAAAACAACTCCAGTAACTTTTCTAATGTTTAATACTACATGCTCACAATAAATTCCTAAATCATATTCTGTTGTCCCAATCTTATAAATGAAGACACTAAGTCTCATGTTTAAATGCATTGCCCAGGGTTATCCAGAGAGTTAACAAAGAAGTCAGAGCTGGAACAGGTCTCCTGACACCTAGCCCAGCACGTTTGCCTCTCTACTATGATGCCTTTGTATCTTCCATTGTACGGCAACCTGGGTGCAACTGCGTGCATTTTTACTTTGGTCCATGATGTTTTCTAAGGTTGATGACAATTGTATATATGTTAGCATAATTTAAAAGTCATGGACAGTGATTTGATAGATGTGAACGGGTTTCCTGGTGAGGAAAGGACTACTGAGTTTGGAATTTATAAGTTTGATGAGTGAAGCCATTGTACCCATTTGTGTGAACAAGGCTCTGAGAAATGTTTCCTGACAAGTTTGAGAGCATGGTATCCAGACAGAGTCATACGTCATCAACCTGTCTTCCACCCAAAGCCATCCCTTTTGTGTCCTGGCACCTCTTCTGTTCCTTTTTAAAGGTACAACACACCTGTGGGGATGCTTTCTCAGTCCTCCAAGTCCTTCAATGAACTCACAAAAGTGCACTCACAGGCTTTTTCACTCAGGTAGTCTACTCACAGGCTGTCAGTGACAGCACAGGACAACTGCAGGCCTCAGTAATTCCTTGAATCAAGTCTTCCTTTGCAGTTTTCAATTTGCTTGTCCCATTTGATCTTAAAGACATGCTTAGGATTATAGATTACGTGCTTATTACATTACATATTTTCATTATATAATTGACATTGTCCCATTACTCCATCTTTACCAGATATGCCAGAGGTAAAATATTTTCCAGTGTTTCCATTGGTATATGATACCAATGAAATATGGAAAAGGATAAGGAAAGTTTTATTTATGTGTATCTCTATATAAAAATTTTTTATTGATTGATTTTTGGTAAGATAAAACAACTTCTGTGATTTGGATTTGGAATGTTCCCCCAAAAGTCTCATGTGTTCAGAGATGGAGATTCTGGAAGATAATTGGTTCAAGGGGCACTATAATTATCAGTGGATCAATTTATTGATGAGTTCATAGCAAAATGTGCTGTTAGGAGGTAGGGATTGACTAGACATGTGTCACTGGAGATGACCCTTTAGAGGATATATTTCCTCTCAGCAGCTCGTCCCTCTTCTTTCTGCTTCCTGACTGCTATGAAGTTAGCAGCTTTCCTCCATCATGGCCTTCTACCATGCCATTTCTTCCTTGAACTAAGCCAATCATTCACTGAATCCCTCAAAACTATGAGTCAAATTAAACCCCTTCTCTTTTAAATTGTAAATATCAGGTATTTCATCCCATTGATGGGAAAACTTACCAAGACAAAAATATAAAACAGTTCTGAATCAAGAACATTATTTTTTGAATTATGGAACATGTTTAAG